TTTTAAATCTCTCATAAAAATAACATTATGTGAGTTGATGCAACTATCATGTACATATGCTGTTCTGGATTTAAGAAGAGTAAACAACTTGTTTATTATTCACTTGCATGGCATATTTTCTTTCTCTGGCAAAGTAGTGTGTGGGCTGATCAGACGTGAACTACATGTGTTTTTATTTTACATTACACCACAATATGGTGGTCTAGAAATTACGTTGCCTTCCATATGATCTTGTACTACAATGCCCATCATATCATTAATTTTTGGCTAGGGCTCATGGGAGTCACAGTCTAATGACATATATTCAAGACGTCTGTGTTAAATGGTGCAGTGATCTTGCAAAGGGCCCTTCCACACAGTCATATAACCAAGAATATCAAGGCTGAAAATCCCACAATATCTGCTTTGAACTGGGTTATCTGAGTCCACACAGCCATATATTCCAGTTCAAAGCACATAATGTGTGGTTTTATTCAGCTGTGTGGAAGGGCCAAAGAAGAAAATCTGGCAATATTACCTGTGTTCCTCCAAGGTAAGTGTGTTTTCAATTCCATTGTTGATAGAGTTCAGAATGCTCCTCATAGTAGGTGAACTATATATCCCATCACTTACAACTCCCAAATGACAAAATCAGTCCGTCTCAGCCCCACCAGTATTCAAATTTGGGCATATTGGGTATTTGTACCAAATTTGGTGTAGTGAATGAAAATACATCCTGCATATCAGATATTTTCATTACGATTCATAACAGTAGCAAAATTACAGTTATGAAGTAGCAATGAAAATAATTGTATGGTTGGGGGTCATTATAACATGAGGAACTGTATTAAGGGATTGTGGCATTAGGAAGGTTGAGAATTAGTATTTTAGACCAAAACCGGGCAACGGCACCTGCATTGTCTGTAACTTTGATATATTGAGATCTTCTGATAATTCCTATCTTTCGTTTGCTTATTTCTGATGTGAGTAATTAACAGTACCCAACAATTTACATTTAAAAAAGAAAGGGGGGGGGGGGATCAACCAACCAACCCTTATTATTGCTTTTATGTTTCACTAAATGTAGGAAGGAAGAAAACCACAACATTATAAATTTTCAGAAAAAGTCTTTGATATTAATATTATTTATTACAATAAAGAACAGTTAAGCAGCATGGAAAAAATATATCTTAGCTACATTAACTCAATTGCCAAAAATATACACATCTTTTCCTCTCATTTAATTAAAAATTACAACAGCCAAGGAGGGAAGGGAGTGTTAGACACAGGCAATGTACTAAAATGAAACATAGCATCAAAAATGGGTAAAGGGTATACCCCAGTGCAACCAAACACAGAACTTAGTCAACTTTTTGAAAAGCTTTCTCAATCTTTTGTTCTCTTCCTACCAAGGAAGAGATTCTGGTGCTTTGTCCCAAGGTGCTTTCAAAGCACATACCCAGCCTGCTTTAAGCATAATTTGACAGTCTGGATCTTCAGTCCTACGCTGGGATTATGATGGTTCGAATTTCAAGTCAGTTTCCTGGGACACTGTTAAGTTTTCTGGATAGCAACTTCAGTCGGGGAAAAGTGCAGACTTGGCAATCGGAACGGTCAAAGATAATTTGGAGCAGTGGTTGCTAGTGCCTTCTGTTTCAGTGAAGTGATGAATCACATTCAGGTTTCGACTCATTGTAAAGGTACTATCCAAGGTGCTTGACCTATTTTGGAAGAATTCACCACCTTAGAGAGCTTTAAAGCCAGGGTCAGAACCTGGAAGGGATTCAACGCCAAACTAACACAGGAGCCACCAAGCGCCACTGGTCTGGAGCACTTTCCCCATGCAGAAGGGCTATAGCATTATTTTAAAAGAAGACAGAAATATAAACCCGGAGAAAATCTCCAATTTCATTTTGCGACACTGCTTGCTGTTGTAAGATATCTACCATCATTCCCAATAAGTAGTTATCCAGACTTTAAAAATAATAACAGGAGAGTCCTCCATTTTGGAGCTAACGTATGCCAATGTTGAACAGGCTGTATCAGAAATCCTCATGTTCAGTCTTAAATCCTTTCTCCTGAACGTTGAACTAACTTCGGTTTTAACCTCTGGTGCTTTAGAAAATAAATTAGTTCCATTATTTATGTCCTTTCCTTTAAGTAGCAAAGTGCCTTATGCCAGCTCCTTGAGAGCAGCCCTGAATGTATATTGGTGGAAGATAGTTGGATTTGCATCTTCTTTGTGAGCTTCAGAGCCAACTGTATGGTCAGAATTGGAAGCAAGATGGTAAAATAGATGTGTCCCTGGATCTGATCCAATAGAGTGCTTATGTTCTTGCACTTTTGAGTGTTAATACGCTCTTGGCCTGATCCAGCAATGCAATCAATGGGGCAAGATGAGACTGTGAAATGTCAGTGCACTACAGGGTGTTTCAAAATGATGGTAAAGTAAAGGTAAAGGTTTCCTCTGACATTAAGTCTAGTTGTGTCCAACTGTGGGGTGGTGCTCATCTCCATTTCTAAGCCGAAGAGCCGGCATTGTCCATAGACATTTCCAAGGTCATGTGGCCGCTATGACTGCATGGAGTGCCATTACCTTCCTGCCAAAGTGGTACCTATTGCATGTTTTTGAACTGCTAGGTTGGCAGAAGCTGGGGCTAACAGCGTGAGCTCCTCAGATTTAAACCACCGATCTTTCGGTCAGCAAGTTCAGCAGCTCAGTGGTTTAACCTGCTGTGCTACTGGGGGCTCCTTAAAATGATGGACCAAAATTTCAAATAATATATATCACGCTGGAAACATGTTACAATTACACAAAATTATCAAGTTTTACTAAACATTTTGAACGAGAAACAAACCTAAAAAATAACTGAAAACGGAGAATGTCTAATTAGGCCTTATGTTGTGGAGTTGCATCTTCCAAATGACTGAGGCTAGGGGCTGTTTCTGAGCTGGGAGAAATAATCATTTGAAACTTTATGTCTCACCCTTTCAACTGGTAGGAATTTTATTCATGGGCAGTTCATGGTTGGAGAGATATAGCTATTTCAATTTGGGTCCATCTTTTCGAAATATCCTGTATTATGGCAAGAGGCATGATGTACCCATTCAGACAAAATCTCCATTACCAAGAATAAATATGAATGGACTCTTTGAAGGAGAAGACAGTCTGTGAAGTGAGTGGGTGCTGTTGCCATATCCAAACCACTTTCTAAATTCTTTTGGTAGATATACAGTAGACCAGGGGTCCTCAAACTAAGGCCCAGGGGCCGGATACGGCCCTCCAAGGTCATTTACCTGGTCCTCACTCAGGGTCAACCTAAGTCTGAAATGACTTAAAAGCACACAACAACAACAATCCTATCTCATCAGCCAAAAGCAGGCCCACACTTCCCATTGAAATACTAATAGGTTTATATTTGTTAAAATTGTTCCTCATTTTAATTATTGTATTGCTCATCTCAGTTTCTAAGCCAAAGAGCTGGCATTGTCCACAGACACCTTCTACGTCATGTGGCTGGCATGACTGCATGAAGCGCTGTTACCTTCCCGCCAGTGGTACCTATTCATCTACTCACATCTGCATGTTTTTGAACTGCTAGGTTGGCAGAAGCTGGGGCTGACAGTGGGAGCTCACGCCGCTCCCCGGATTCAAACTGCCAACCTTCTGGTCAGTAAGTTCAGCAGCTCAGTGGTTTAACCTGCTGTGCCACCAGGGGCTCCGCCATAATATATATAAACAACAAAAGTTGTCAAGTGCAACTCTACAAAGGTTTCACTGGTCTTATAGACATATACCCCAGTTCTGTTTCTGTTATACTGAATAACTGATAAGGAGCACTAACAATCCATATTTGAGGGATTTTTTGACCATAAAAAGGGTCTTATGAGTTTTCATCCCACTCAATTGTGATGTCACTTTAACTGGGAAAAGACTAACATCCCCTGTCTGACTGAGAACTCTGCCCCATCCCCCCCGAAATCCAAACTATAGGTCCCAGAATTTCATAGGATCTAACCATGGTAGGTAAAGTGAAATCATAGCACTGTGGCTGTGTAGTGTGAAAGGGCTGCCCCCACTCTGGTTTCTGAGATTCACAAGGTGCCAGCCATGCAATTTCAAGTCAATCATCTTAAGCCAAAGTGCTATAAACCTGCTTTGCTAAGGAATAGGAAATGGCATAAATAATAGTGGCTGTTTACATAACTGCAGATGTATGGAATGCATATGACTGAACGCATCTGGTATGCCAGACCTTAAATGCAGGAAGTAGCACTGAAGTGATGTTTCCATTTGACTGTGTGCATCTATTGTCACTGACACAGAGCTTCGGAAAGTTGCTTTTATGGGCTAGAAACCCCAGAGTCCACTGGTCAGGCTTGACTCTGCCTTTCCCTGTAGACTTTGGGGTTCACTGGGTATGCGGCATATAGTTCTCATATGAGCATCACTGAATGTATGCCAGAACAAGATCAGAAGTGTAGAACTCTGCATCAGTGTTTTGGCCAGATGTTTTGGCCTACAACTCCCAGAAATCTCAGCCAGTTTACCAGCTGTTAGGATTTCTGGGAGTTGAAGGCCAGAACATTTGGGGACCCACAAGTTGAGAACCACTGCTCTACATCACAAATCCCTTGACTTGTATCTGTTGCCTCAAAAGTGAGGTCACCTGCTCGCTATATGCCTTTTCCGATCAGCCCATGGAAAGCCAGATTAAGATATTTTTCAAAGTTGCATTGATACAGCTCCATTTCTGCCCAACTTTTGACCCATCCTTTTGTGGAGTGGTTTGCAAAGTACAACTGATGTGCTTTGGTACCATTCCTTCCAGCTTTTAATATAATAATATTTTTGTCATGTCAGGAGCAACTTGAGAAACTGCAAGTCGCTTCTGGTGTGAGAGAATTGGCTGTCTGCAAGGACGTTGCCCAGGAGACGCCTGGATGTTTTACCATCCTTGTGGGAGGCTTCTCTCACATCCCCACATGAGCTGGAGCTGATAGAGGGAGCTCATCCGTGCTCTCCCCGGATTCGAACTTGCAACCTGTCGGTCTTCAGTTCTGCCGGCACAGGGGTTTAACCCACTGTGCCACCGGGGGCTCCAATAATAATAATAATAATAATAATAATAATAATACTCTTTTAAGGAGGAACAGGCAGACTAGTTGCACAATGTCTTGACTGAAACTGAGGAGAGTTCTCCATATGGAAGCATTCATTGGCAGCTCGACAAGAGGCCAAGAACAATGCCACCAAGACAGCAAAGGACAAAAATTGATCTGGAATGGGGCCGAAACACTGGCCTGAGTGCTTGAGAGAGGTGAGTGCTATCGAAAGCTTAAGTGCATTCCACTGATAATAGCTTCTATCTGTCACGTTTGCTAATGCCTCGCCAAAGAGAAGGGAGAATGGAAGGGGTCGTTTCGATTTTCGACTGCATTTTCATTTATGCAGGAGCTGCCACAAGTGAAAAGAAGGGAAGGGTCCATTTGGAATCGCTGCTGCTTTTGTTAGTTTCCAGTAGCTTTCTTTTAAAAACAAATTCCCACACATACACACTGCAAAACTAAACCCCACATTCGCGCACAAAAGTTGAAGCCAAACACATCTGCACGGGTGAATTAAAAAGAGCACATCCTTGAAAACCACTTCCTCTTTTCTCTCTTTTCTTTTTCCCTTCGCATCCAGCTCAACCATGTGGTGAGAATTTTTCTTCTTTTCATTAAAAAATAACAAAGCAGAAGAAAGCAAAGCAAAACCACATAGGGGAAAATAAAAAGATTTTTTAAACAGCAGTGGTCATACTTGGGAGTCATCTGCACATGCCCACCACCAGTGTTTGAAAATAGTGCAAATTGGAAGAGGTGGTGGAGATGTGCCTAAAATGACTGAAGGCAGGAAAGCTTTTTAAAGTTTGTAGGTGTTTTTTTTTCCCCCAGTCACCTGGCGTCTTGCTTCCTTGAAAAATCTGCATTTATCCAGCAAAAGATAGGGATGGCTCAGGTTGCTTAAAACAACCGACCACGATTCCCATTTCATCTCATCTTGACATGCTTCAAAAACTGCTTTAAGAAGAAGGGAATGAATGCTTTTGCTGCGGCCATCGGTTACCAGAGGTAAATGAGGTCTTAAAGTTGGTGGGAAGACCAATATTCTCCATTATCTATGATCTGACCGAGCCTAGTTCTGGAGATAGGGATGGAAGATGTTTTTGTTTATCTGAACAGAGCTACCTGGAGATGGAAGAAACAACTCCTGCCCATAGATAAAGTCCTGGCCCTGCTTCTTTGGTGTTGGCTTTGGAGTGGCTGGTCTAAGTAGGAAAACATCTTTTTAAGTGGCTAGAAAGTTCACTACAAAGGTGAACATAGATTGAGTGCTTCTAGACAAGAATTTCAACATGCAATTGCCTACTTAAGAGGCAGAAGCAGGTTTGGACATCGGCATTTTCCAAATGGAGTCTTCCTGTGCTATCTCACCAGTTTCTTTGTTTTCCCACAAAAACACGTTGACAAGGGAATGACAGAATAGCTGCCCAGAGCCCTTTGGGCTAGTAATGTGAGGAGGAAGCTCTCGTTGTCATGGCCCGCTTGATCTGAGGCCCTGCTCCACACACACAAGGCTCCTGAAGGTGAGGAAAAGAAGCATCTTGTCCAAGCAAGGAAGGCCATTGTTAAAATGTAAGACTGGCAGAGACTTGGGAGAACCGAGATAACTGTTCTTGTTGTGCTGGCTTTTCTACGACCAGAACCACATCCCAGCAAGAGTCAACAAAGCCATATCCATTGGCCCCTTTGTTTCCTCTTGGGAGCAAAGCTCTTGTTTCTGTATCTCTCTCCCTCCAAAGAAGAGCTTCTCAACTTCACCCTGTTACGTACGTATTGGAGACCTCAGAAGTCCCATCTTGTCCCCCGATCACTGTGGCTGCATCTTTCTGCCTTGGTTGGGAAGTGTCCTCTTCTGCAGATGACACGGTCACATCTCACAGCGCCTATCTTTGCAGGGGATTTCTCTTAGCAGACTGCTTCCCCATTTCCCCTGAAGTGCAACTTGTCATGAAGTAAGTGCTGCACAGCAGATATAGCCAGTCAGGGAGGGGAGGGTTTACTCCACTTGCCTCCTTCAGAAAGAGGACAGAACCAAGGAACATAGACTCCCAATGCACCTCCGTTTGGTGTTGTTCTGCCCCGTGGCAAAGCAGACTTTCTCAGAAGTCTGGCATCAGGTGGTTGCTCTACGTTTTGGGATCCATGGCTCAGGGAAGAGAATTTCCTATGGCAGAGAATGTCCTGGTGTTGCCAAAGCTATCCCTTGTCCTGGACAGGGGCACCTCCCTTTTCATTCATGCTCTAGAGAAGACAAGAAGCATAGAATGGATGTTATTTTGATCAGCAATTAAAAGGAGAAAAGGGGGTAGGAAACTTGAAAAGAAAAGGTAAACCTTTCCCTTGACATTAAGTCCAGCCGTGTCCGACTCTGGAAAGTGGTGCTCATCTCCATTTCTATTTTATGTATTTATTTCCAATAATAATAATAATAATAATAATAATAATAATAATAATAATAATAATAATACAACTTTATTTATATACCGCTCTATCTCCCCAAGGGGACTCAGAGCGGTTCCCAGGTAAAATCACAAAACAAAGTAAAAACGACATAATCGTAAGATTAACAAAACAATAAAAGCATAAAAATTGTCGCCATGACACTCATATATTAAAAGTAATCCTGCCTTTTCGAGGCCAGGCCAAGATTTGTGCAATCCCAAAAATTCTAGGGGGCTCGGGAATTGAGTGAATGCTATGGCAGGAAACAATAATATTAAGTATGGGTCTGTGGCTGTTCATTCTGGGGCCGATTAGTGATCTGGGTAATTGGTAGGAAGAATAAGGCCACATTCGACAATGTGTAAGACTGAGTTATAATTTCATATATTTATATCCTACTCTTTTCACCCCTGAGGGGGCACTCAGGGCGGCCTCACAAAGTACCATACGGTGTCAACATCATAAAACAATCAACAGTACATTAAAAATTTAAAATATTAAAAATATTAAAACAATTGATTAACGTTCGCCTATTAAAAATTCTAAGCTGAAGAGCCGGCGTTGTCTGTAGACATCTCCAAGGTCATGTGGCCAGTATGACTGCATGGAGTGCGGTTACCTTCCTGCAACAGCAGTACCTATTAATCTACTCACATTGCATGTTTTTGAACGGCTAGGTTGGCAGAAGCTGGGGTTAACAGCAGGAGCTCACCCCACTCCCTCGATTCGAACTGCCAACCTTTCAGTCAGCAAGTTCAGCAGCTTAGCGGTTTAACCTGCTGCACCACCAGGGGACCCTTAGGAAACTTTAACATACACCAATATTTAGGAATGGCCTATACCTAAGGGCTAGTCCAGATGTAACTCATATTAATCTGGATTTCCAATCTTGCTCTTTTTTCTCACTTTCCACTTCTCAGCTGACATCCCACTGAGAGTGTGGTCCTTCACATGCATTGGACAACAGCTTCCGTCATCAAGGTTTGTACTGGCTGGAAGTTATGGGAAATGTAGTCCTACATATCTGTGGGGTTTGGGGAAAATTTGGCCAACCCTAATTCCTTTTGTTCAGCTACATTCCTACAATGGCTCCCTAACAATTCACTCTTTCTTCACAAAAACCTTTCCCATTGCATTTCCCAGCCTTTCTCCTTATGAATTATTGCTACCTCTTCTCCGCACAGTTCCTGCTGAACGAATGTACCCTAAATGGCTTCTAAGTCTGAAGCCCCACAAATGATCAAAATAGTTTTCCACTATCCTCATCAATCCACTCCAAATCTTTCAGATGTAGTAATATTTATGAACATTCTGTGACATCTCAGCAATTTTTTTGAGCTATGTAAAATATACCCACCATTCCTTTTTGGCTGCTGCCATCACCCTGCAGGTTGAGGAAAGGGTTTGTTTGTGCCGCCAGGACAGGTGGGATAGTAGCCCCTGCTGCAGATGACATGAGACTGTTCCCATGTGTGCTGAGTGGTGAAGAAGCCATCAAAGAACTGGCTGAGTTGAGCTGCTGGGGGGAGATGGAGGAAAGGAGGGTGCTGTTGGCAGCAGATGGCACAGTGTTGTTGGAATGGAGAAGGGAGGCGGAGGTGGCTGTCCCCAGACCGGTCATGGGCAGTTGCGAGTTGCTGGTCATCTGGAGCCTCTGCAGCTCCCTTTTCTGTTGAATTTGTTGAATCATCTGAAACACCAGCGCCTGCTGTTCCTAAGAAACAATTGCAAACCAATTGAAGAAAGATTTGGCAACTCTTCCATCTATCTTTGCATCACACCTACAAGGCCGTCCCCAAATGCCATCCAATGCCCTACCAAGGCTGGAGGGGAGTGGCATTTTGTCATGCTTTTAGACCTAGGAGAAGGCTTTCTTTAAAAAAAGGAATGACCAGAGGACGCTTCTAATTTACGAGGGTTGAATGAAAAGTAATGCCTCCACCTTAATAACTCCTCAACAGATGGCAGCACTGGTATGTGGCAGGTACTGGATTGTTCAGTAGACTCCTCTACATTTCCATTTTGGCGGGAAGCCTTAGCATTGAACGGTTGTGTTGTTAAAGTGCAAAGTATGGAACCCTGCGCAGATGGTCGGCCAATGCGACTTAAGCAACGTGCAGTCACTAATTCTTGACAGCAGAAGGTTTCACCTCAACATGGACAGTACTCATCAACATAGTCACCATAAACAGCTTGCATTCTCTGAGGAATTTCCTTTGGGGTGACACCTTCTGCTGTCAAGAATTCAATGGCTGCACGTTGCTTAAGTTGCATTGACCGACCATCTGTGCAGGGTTCCATACGTCGCACTTTAACAACACAAACATTCAATGCCATGACTTCCCACCAAAATGGAACTGTAGAGGAGAGTCTACTGAACAAACCAGTACCTGCTGCATACCAGTATTGCCATCTGTTGAGGAGTTTCGAAGGTGGAGGCATTACTTTTCATTCAAACCTCGTATATCCAGTTTTTTAAAAAAAATAGACTTCTTCTAACATGGTCCAGAGAGGGCTCAGAATGTGGTGAAAACACCTCTGAAAGGGCACATGGAGTGAATGGACTGGATTGTGGCGCAGCTAGCTGGGAGCCAGCTGCATTAAATCACTACTGACTTACTGACTGAGATGTCATGAGTTTGATGCCATCCCGGGTCGGAGTGAGCTTCCGGCCATTAGTCTATCTTGCTGTCAACCCATGCAGCCCAAAAGACAGTTGCATCTGTCAAGTAGGAAATTTAGGTGTTGCCTAAACCTGAGGGAATGCCAGGCATGAAATAATCAGGAACACCTAATCACCTCTCAACAAAAGATTCCCCCAGGCAGTAACAAGCCACACCTAAAAACTGTCAGACCATCAAATGCTAATCAAGGTGGCCAACTGAAACACGCACACCTAGCTCCAACAGACAAGAGTTCTTTTTCCCACCCTGGGCTTTCCACAGATATATAAATCCAATTTTCCTAGTTTCCAACAAACCTCACAACCTCTGAGGATGCCTGCCACAGATGCAGGCAAAACATCAGAGAGAATGCTTCTAGAACATGGCCATACAGCTTGAAAAACCTACAACAACCAGTGATTCTGGCTGTGAAAGCCTTCGACAATACAATTTAGATACTGCTTTATGCGGGGAGGCTAATTTAGGACACCATAAAACCTTCCAGCAGCGTGCAGAAGAATGAGGAAGTACTCCATCAAAAGGACGGTGAAGCGTCAGCTCCCCCTGTGGCCGGAATCGAGTCATAATCTAGCATACCCTCATGAAGCCGGAAAAGGCTGGAATGTTAAAATTGCCTCTGTGTCTGTCTATATATGTTGTATGCCTAATTGGCTTTAATGTTTGCCATGTATATGTGCATTGTAATCCACCCTGTGGGGTGAGAAGGGCAGAATATAAATACTGTAAATAAATAAATAATAAATAATGTTTATGACCACCTTATTATACCTGTTTACCAACATCTTCCTCTGCAGTGCTCACCAAAATCTTAAAACTTCGGTTAGCCTTTCCTTGTACTTTCTGCAACTCCCACCGTGTCCACCTCCCCTGCCCAGGTAAAAGATGTCAATTTCATCTATCACTCATTCCTCGCAAGGGTAGGAAAGGTACCTACTGGGCTGAGTGGCTGTGAGGTCAAGAGCTGCTGGAGTTGCTGCAGTTGGAGTTCATGCTGGCTGAGGAGTTGCCTCTGGTGCTCTGTCAGGTGAGTGGCGTTGGGCGTGCTGGAGGTGGGTGAAAAGAGCGAAATTGCTTTTTAAGGTATTTGTTGCAATGTTTACCTATGTTTTAGTGAACCATATCTTATTGAATTGTAGAATCATAGAGTTGGAAGAGATCTCATGGGCCATCCAGTCCAACTCCCTGCCGAGAAGCAGGAAAATTGATTCAAAACACCCCCGACAGATGGCCATCCAGCCTCTGTTTAAAAGACTCCAAAGAAGTCCATCACACTCCGGGGATTGTTTTGTTTTATTTTTCATCACAATGATTAATTCTTTGTCGTAAGCTCCCTGTTATTACTGTTGCTTTATTATGCATTATTTTGATACATCTGTATTCACCTGAGGCACTGAACAAAACAAAACAACACAGGGAATTGGAAAAGGGCATCATGGTGGACACCCATGATGAGAGAATGGGTGCTTAAGCTTTAGGGAAAAAAATATGCAACTGGCCTTGGGAAAGAGCTAGTTTTTGGATATAAAATGCAATATATACATTGAAATGTTAAGGAAGCACGCCAAATATTTGGTGTCCAATGCAGAAAATCTAAATAATATTTTATCTCTTTTGCTAAGTATTATAGATCATGGTTGACTGAAGAGTTATTTTTGCACAAACCTTGCTTTACTCCATGCCAGGGCCAATTGACACCCCATTGGCATGTAGTGGCAGTTACACGTCCTGACTGCAACACCTTATGTCAAATGGCCAGAAATAGTTGGCCCCGTTAACCAAGAAATCCAGGCCTGTGATAGTATTGCTGATTTGCTTTTGTACTATACACTTGATGTTTACTTTTCCATACTCTTTTTAAAAAGAGGAGAGGAGTGAAAGCAGAGCGAGTATCACAATGGAAAATATATGGTCAATACAAATTCCTACGCTTATGTATTGCCATCTTAGCACACTGAATCCTAGCTGTGATTTGCCTAAGTTACACTCTAAATTTGGTGTTAAAGCGAGTTTGCAGTTAGGCATGTGCTGTTTAAATCCACTGGAGATTTTTCATTGTTTTTGCAGTACTGGTAGTCAAAGGGGCAGGGTGTAAGCTATGGTTTTTTAGAATATTGTTTGCATTGTGTTTTTATTGCACCCTTCTTGCAGCCCTTGCTAAAAAAATTGTGTGCAATCATGGCATCATAATCATGAACAGCAGATGAGGAAGCCAGCATGTATTTTAATAACCACAACACATATATAACAACATATATAACAACAACGAAATATATTATTGCTCTTTTAAACTGTTTATTTTATAATGTTTTATACTTATCACCAATGTATTTGGATGATTTTAATATGCTTTGAGCTGCTTTGGATCCCATGAGGGAGAAAAGAAGGATATAAATAAAATATTATTATTATTATTATTTGAAACACAACAAGATGAGTCCACAGCAAACAAGATCATTCTGCTGGCCCTTGTATTGGATCACACGTCGGACACTTCCCAAGTGTCTAGGACTGTGTGATGTATCGGCGAAATATGCATGCAGATCCCAGTAGGGTGGCCTTTTGCAGCTGGCAGATGGTAATCTTATCAGCGCCGATTGTGTTTAAGTGCAGGACAAGGTCTTTAGGCACTACACCCAGTGTGCCAATCACCACTGGGACCACCTTTACTGGTTTTTGCCAGAGACTTTGCAGTTCGATCTTTAAATCCTCATTTCGTGTCAGCTATTATTATTATTATTATTATTATTATTATTATTATTATTATTATTATTATTATGTCAAGTAGTAAGGAATATGTAGACTGAAGTTTATATGAAGAAAATACA